ATTTATCCTTTTGTGTTTTTCTTAAAATCAATATTTAATGTATGATATTAAATGATTAAAATTTTTCACAAAATAAATAAAATTATTTAATTTTTATACAGATTTAAATATAAAAGATAAACATAAAAATATTGTAATAAAAATTATTAATTTATGTTTATAACTGCACATTCCGTGTTTCAATGCGAATATTTTACTTATCCGCGAAAAGATTCATGGAAGTTTTCTCGACATATCAAGAACTGACCCAAACAACATAAAGTCTAAAATTATGATGTAAAACGTCTTTAAATCGTCTTTTAAATGCAAAGAACATCTTATGATCTGATTTTAGATACTTGTTGTCTGGAGATTGATTGTGACACACGACAATGCCAACCTCTCTATCTTAACATCAAGAAGACCAATAATTACAGTTACATCACTAATATATCAACAGATCAATATGGCGAGTAAAAATAAAAAGATATTCCTCGATTATCAAATTCAATCAATCCATATCTTTTATAGTTACAATAGAAAAAATTGACTAAAAACAAACTTCTCTACCTCAAAAAATCTCAAGAAGATTCTACAAAAAATCTTAACAATCTAAAGGATCTGATATAAGTCTTACTTTCAATAATAAACAAAATTTAATAAGATTTAATTTAAAATTTAATAAAACCGTATAATGTGAATACAACAAGTAAGAGTTAAAGCCCATAACGGTCGAAGCTGAATCTTAAATATTTAAATAATTTTCATATGAATTTATATGTAATAATTGCTGTATATTATATAGTCAATTATATTATTTGAGAATATAGTAAAACCAACAGCGCTACATGCTACGGCAATATAAAATGTACTATGCTAACTATATCAACAAACCTTTCTTCTTTATGTACACGTATTTCACGATCTTTTTATAAAGAGAGTTACTATTTGAAAGCTCCAAGACTGAAAACCATTAGTGTCGACCCTGCATGCTTTTCATCAGTATAGTTTAGAAAGTAAAAGGCTTTCAAATGTTCAGGAACGCGAGGAGATGTAAGTTGTTACGTCCAGAGCACGTGCTTATGTAAGTAGTCTCATATACATTTATATTTGGGTAAACTTTACTTAAATGTCATGATTATTATTTGATATTATTAAATTATTATTATTCATGTGGCAGACAAGTTTTAATTTTCTTTGTTAAATAACTTAAGGATTAATTTTTCATTCTAAATACTGTCTAAAAAAAAAATCGATTCCATTTTTATCGAAGAATATATATTTTCAAGATTGCATCTATTATATAGTCTGTATAATTATTGGAAATTTTTACGCGTATCTTCTATTTGTTGAATTTCTCATATAAGATGTTTTAATAGTTCTCTTAATTAATTAATTATTTATAGCGTATTAATACTTTGATACTCTTTGTACTCATTTATAATATGGTAAATATTTTTTAGAAGAAAAATTTAATTTAATTAAGTTTAATTTAA